AACCACATATACAGGAAACAATTGGGTGTTTGTTGATATGTCAACAAAGCATGGGGAATAAGTGACCACATAGAGTGTATAGTCGCATATTTTTTTGTCTTACATCAAGTCTATGTGTCCCTCCCTCTTTTCTCATTTCATGTGTCTCTCAACCCAGCCTTCCCCCTCCCTAAAAGAGGAGTCACAAGTGTAGGGTAAACAGAGAGTAGAAATATGAACAAACATAAACATGAAAGAAATATGAACATGAAATATGATTGTAAAATTAAAAGAGGGAGACGATATACTCAATGCAAGTCTATATGAAGTCAATATTTACTTTTAAAAATGCGGTACATAACTGAAACATTCGCATTAACTTGACCAATTGTAACCACCAGTTATTTGTAGTTGTAAGTATTCATTATAGATGCCAAACCCCAAATGCCGACCATGGAACGCCAACTGCCAAACACCATCCACAAAAAGTTGGAAACTTTAACAATCACCATTTCTGGCATTAAAATCAAGATACAATTTGATCTATTTGGAACATATTCATTGTCTTGATCAAAATAGGTTCAAAGAGAATCTCTTGGTAAAACAAAAATTCTTTGAATATATTACCATCAATCGATTAAACTGTGTATGCTTTAAGAGTCTACTTGCTATTTACACAACCTTTTGATACAGGTGATATATGGTCAGTAAAAGTTTTGGCACATGACCTTAATATTTTACTTTATTACCAATGAACTTTACATTTGAATGTACAATGTATTTATAGCCATTGCAGCTATTTTTAAGGGGCCATATTTTACTCAACCTTCAAACTGGTTGTAAAATTTGAAAACTGAACGATCAAAACTTGATATGGTGACCTTGACCTTTAATTTGCAATATAGCTTTATATATGACAAACTGACTATAAGATATATTGGTTTATTATTGAACGGTCATTTTGCCATTCTGTCAATAACCCTTTTAATACAGTACTAAATATATGAATGAATAAACTGAATCTGAAGTAAAAGCAAAGGCCACTTAATTAGGGTGTTTCATGTTTTGGGCTTTTTTCTAATCAAGCTCTTCTTTTGCCAAACTCGATAGTCCTAACCATGCACAAAAAAAATTATGGCCTCCAAATGGTTACCGTAGATCAAATGTGACTGAGGTATAAGACAGACTATATGAATCTCATACTTATCGATCATCAAAGAAAATTATTTCTAATCTAATCACACTCTCACATATTATCAAAATATTGAAAGCTCAAGAATTTGAATTTTCACTTTTAAAGGGACAAATATATACAGTTCGACTTTGCCTCCAAAAGAGAGCTTCATCTTCAATCTTTCAGTTTTCAATAAATCTCTGAACTCACTATGCTAATCAGAGTTCGTCGTCAAAATAAGGACGACTTTCTATATGATCATTTTCTCTGATGTAATCGCATAATTATTGTGCACGCATTTAGCACTTGTTCCTTCCAGCTCGCTGATTCGTTGAGAATAGGCCTGTGCGGTAGGTGTGAAATGATTTATGACCCGAGCTACCACGGGCATTGGTCGTATGGGCGGGGCTGATGAACTGTAATATAGTCTTTACTAGGTAGAGGGTAGTTTATAACTAGACTCTGCGCAAAGGGTAACAAATATTATAAATGAAATTCTCTTCATTTTCATTTAATTTAATAAGATACTCATGTCTGATTTCTGTTACTTCTTATGATTTTAATTAAATATTTATTTCTTGAGATTTTAATTAAATATATCTAATAACTCTGGAGTGTACTCAAGATTCCCAAAATAGTCTAGGCAAATTCTAGAGTACCGCAAAATGTGAATGCCTCATAATGTGAATACCGTAAAATATGAATGCTTCAAAATATGAATACCACAAATTGTGAAAACAATTTACCCCAAAATGTGAATACCATGAAATGTGAATTTGAATCTTAAAACAATCTTATTGTAAGGGATGGTGTACAAATAGAACAATTAATACAGACTAAGAGCAATCTTAACTTAATTGTTCAGATGAGTTTATTTAAAGATCAAATTCCCTTAATGAATATATAAATAAGTAAAATTAGATTCCTATTACACAGGAATATGCTAACATTACAATACTTTATGTACGGAAACATATCAAATGGTCACTATAAGGCAATGTTTTTAAATTCAACATTAACTACAAAAGAGTGGAATCAGCAAGGAATAAAGTAAACATGCATGTAGTTAACACTCTAAATTGTATAAAAATGCAAGGAAACCACCCAGTTCTTTCTAACCTAGAGATAAACATTTTGGAATAACCACCACATTCTCTATTATTAAATTTGTTAACCCATTAGGTTAATGTACCTCTTTACACAACATATAAGTCTTAAAGTACAAAAACACATGTTAATTTCTTAATAAAACCAATTATAGGTAATGACAAATATATGGCTCAAAGATGGTTTTATAAACATGTTTACATATAGCAACTGTAGCATCCCTGATTGGCTTTATCTCCATATATCAAAAAATGGTCCTAATCAGAATTACCCTGCGTGCAGACTCTAGTTAAACTACACTCTGCCTAGTAGAGACCATATTACAGTTTAGTAGTCCCGCACCCACGATGGGTACCGGTGACAGTTTGGGTAATAAATGACTTTTGACCTACACGCTGACCTTTCTTCCACCAATCAGCGAGCTTAAAGAAACATACGCCAAATGCATTCTAATTAAATATGCGCATGTCATTGGTCAATTCTGGGCTCAACGATGACGTCAGAAGGAATGACCATATATAGAACGTCGATCAAATTTGGCCGACAAACACTGATTGGCGCGGTGAGTTCACAGGTTTATTTTAGTTTGAAAGAGTGAAGATGGAGCTCTTTTTTAAGAAGTGAAGTTGAACGAATGCAAAGGGTAAATCAGAATTAAGCAAATAGTGAACACCCATGGAGCCACAAAAAGTTTTTCTGTAAGTGTTCACTAAAGAGAAGGGATTTTATAAAGGAGTCAATGGAAAATGCGTTGACGTGGTGTTCATTAAACACAGGTGTTTACTATAAAGGTGTTCACTTTAAGAAAAATTCTACTGTATTTATATTGATAAACTCAGGGTATTGGCAGTGGTCCAGACTGTACTAATCTCTTAATTCTGATGGTCAAATAGAAATGATAAGGAGAAATGAAGAGATAAGCTAATGTATAGTCTACTATACAATAATAATAACAATCAAAATTTGATCAAATTGATTTCTGTATTGTTCTTTTGTTTCTACATTTTGCCCAATTGACATTGACTTCAAATTAATAAAACACATGTTAGTTGTCTTAATAGAGTGTATCATTGATTGGTAATATGAAAAGTATATGAATATAGAATATGACACTACAAACTCAGCAAAAGTGAAGGGAGAATTTAATTGACGACTGGAAAATGTTGCACACTCGACTTCAAACCAAATGAGAGGTCATGAAAAAACTTGGCATATTTAAACCAGTTTGAAAACTCAGTTAGATATTAATGTTTAGAACTTTCTACATATAAAGAGAAAATCCTAGAGACTTTTTTGAATTCCGGAATACCACTTTTAGTTATCTTTTTAGTTGAATTTCAAATCTTTTTTTAATGGAAAGCTTCATGTTCAGGTTAATGTACTCTAGACTCTGACTCTTAGGGTCAGTGTTTATTTACAAGGTCCATGAAATAGACTAAAGTATAAATAAATATCAAAAATTGGGTTTTGGCCAAAGTTGACCTTCAATGTTATGTACTTAGTGAGTAAATTCTTCTACCTACAGGACACTTTAAGGTAATTTGTGAAATAATTTTGGAAATGTTTACTGGCCATGTGTTTCCAATAAGGTCATTTATGCCTTGTCTTGTTGTTATGACCGAGCCTCATGTTTATGACCGAGCCTCATGTTTATGACCGAGCCTCATGTTTATATAGCCTCCAAGTCTAAAGCAAGTCTCATAGTCTCAAACTCAACTTTGATTTCCAATTTATGACATACCTTTTTTAAAAGTTTGAAAGGTTTAGTTCTTTAAGAGACCATCTACAATAAATACTGTCCTCTATAAATATCCTTTTAAGTAGTTTGAAATCATTTCTATACAAATTACTCACAAGAGTTGGTGAAAGACATAAAGGGGGGGGGTCCAGTCTTTAAAAAAAGACAAGCGAGAATAAACAATGAAGTCACAATACAAGCGATGGCAATCTTTACAGATACATTAGATTTTGGTATAAGTAGAACACCACTGACATGACAAAATAGTGTTCTACTTAAGAAGGTGTTCTACTGTCTTAACTCAATAAGTAGGTATCAGAACTTTGAAAAGTATTCCATTATAGAGGTGTTCCACTTAAAAGATTTAACGCTACTCATTTTTTATTTTCATCAAGATTTGAAATGCTGGCCTCATAAAATTAGTTAAGTGTATAAATATAAAGCATACAGTATAAAGTAATATAAAAGTAATTTTAATCTTAATGATCGATTTGATATTTAGATAAACTCAAGTCGTCTTAGTCATAACATCTACATGTACGTCATCAAAAAGCTTTTCATGAATTTTAATTCAGAGATTGATTTAAACATTAGGTGTTTACAAATACATAGTCTGGTTTCAACCCCACCCCTCCCCCCACACATAAACACTCACACAGATAGGAATAGAGGGACGGAGGGGGGGGGGGTCAAGAGACCTGATGCAAGATATGACAGATAGGAATAAGGTGGGAGGAGAGGGGGGGAGTCAAGAGACTTGATGTAAGATAAGCAATAACTGTACTTTTTCAAATCTGTGAATGGTCATAGACCCAAGACCCAGAAGTAATATTTTAATGTTCTATTCTACCATAGCAGTGTAACAAGATTAGCACCATCCTTGTTCCAAGGGTATTTCACTTCTTTCCATACTGAATTGAGTAATAAATGAAGTCCTTTGAATGAAGGATGATTAGCACCTTTACAATGGGATAACAATTCTGGAGACTTTTGAATACTTACTTTGCTTTCTGTAGGGTATATTCCAATTTTTTACGCACATACGATCTTGGGGTCAATGGAGATTCTGGTGGCGTATGAACCATGTCTTCTTCGACCTCCTTTACTGGAGAGTAACAGAATCTCACTTCTACGAGCTTCCCATATGGAGCATGAGGCGTCATCGGAGTGTGTGGTGTCATCGGAGTATGCGGTGTCATCGGAGTATGTGGTGTCATTGGAGGCGTTGACATCATAGGTGATGACGCAGATGACCCAGTTGACATCTGATGCGTATGAATCGGAGTGAATCCATACTGTGGAATTATTGGTTGATTTCCCGGAGTTGGCGACATATGTCCCGGTGACATATGTCCCGGCATTGATAACTGCATAAAACGATTGTGACGATTCATTTTCTCTGTTAAACTGAACCAATGTAAGCTAGATGCAGTCTTTAGAATTGACATTAAGATGTTGACTTTAATATCTGTTCAAACTTTCTCTATAGAACATTGGCTCAACACTAAATCCTTCTTGAGACTATCTACATATATCCAGATATTACACAATCAAATTTACTTTCCTGTTCCTCTAATTCATTAATGAAGTTCACTTGTCATTATAATCCACTTGATAAAATCAACTCAAATTCACTCATTTGAACTTGATTAAAGCTTATTTGGATTTGTTTAAGTCCATCTTTATTCGAATCAACTCAAAGTCAATTTTGAGCTCAATTTCAGCTTATTCCGATTTATTAATGTATATTTATTAATATCAAGCTTTATCTAAATCAACTCAAATTAACCTTAATTTCAGCTTATTTTGATTTAACAAAGACTATTTTTATCTAAACAAACTCAAATTCACTTTTGAACTCAATTTCAACTCAATATGTCATAAAGCACAAAGCTGATAAATTAAGATTTATTTTGGTCGCAAATTAAAATATCTTTTCTGCTCGCTTATACCTAATTTGAACAAATGTTCGCCTCGTGACAACTCCTCATGACCTGACGATAATAACATTTTGCGACTAAATATTTCAATGATATTCTTGCCAGATTAAAAAAACTCCAAATGTTCCATCTGTTCTATTGTATTTTTTCTTATTTATACCCTGTCGTATCATCAAAGCTTTTCTAAATGACGATATCTTTGTTTGATCGTATTTAAATTATCGTCATTGATATTTGTTTATATTGAGGAACTTCAAAAAGAGGCTCACTGAGACATTGTCCGTTTAATCAACAAAGATTTTCCCAGCGTCAACCTTTCGTCAGCCCTTTCTCTGATGGTCATACCTCATGCAGGCTACTTTTAAACTTCAATAAATAAATTGCAAATTGCGAATACTTATTACTATGTTACTTTACCATTGTAGGTGTTTTTTGACGCAGCAAATCAAATCTTAAATATTGCATGCAGTGAAACTTGAACCTTCAATGAAGTGGTAAATTAAATTTTGTCAAAACAGCAACTTTACAGTTAATCATACGATATTTTATCCTAGTTATACAATCCCATAATTCTTATTAGAATTCTAAGCTCTGATTGGTCAATCCATATCATGTGGTACAAACATTACCTAAACAAATAGCTAATTTAGTATTTTACTATTGACGACATTTCAAGACAACTTCCTAATAGTTTAAATACAAACAAGAAACGGGGATGGGTACATCAATGTAAATCAAACAAACCTAATCTACAAAAAACCTCCCTTGATCTTCAAAATGTATATGAATACCCCATTTATTTAATTAATTGTCTTATGTTTGAAATCTACTGAATCAAGCTTAATTTATCTATTACTATATAGAATTTAAACAGTATTCGATCGTGTGGAGGATTTATCATTTTCAAAGATTGAAATGTCCTATTTATCTTATATTGTCATTTTTTGTTTTGTTACGTGTTTGAAACTATGATCATTGTAAAATTTTATTTACTGACCTTTTTACAGGAAGAGTATTAGACAGTATTGTATGTTTAAATACAATATTGTATGTTTATCTCTATATCTTCTAAAATATAAAGACTCTCTGTATAAACTTACCTCAAAAAATGAAAAATAAATATTACAGTGAGTACAAGCAAATATTCTTTTTTATAAACCTTTGTTTAAAATGTCAAGCCAGTAATGTCAAAAATTTAAATTAAAAAATATAAAATGAAATCAGTACGGAATTAAATATACATGTATATTGTATCAGTATTAAAACATACAAAATGTTGAAGTTTCTTTGTGTTTATTTAAACGTTAGAGAAAAAATAGCGGAATATGTATAACGTGGGGTTATTTTCAGTCAGGGGTACCCCACTTTGATGTTATTTTACTACAAGCCCTTCATGTGTGTTATATCACAGTGACCTCTAGGTTTAAACTTTTCACACTAGCAGTTGGGGCCTCCTGTCTCCTCATATCCTGTGTACTACCTCTCAATTTAGATATTGAGTATTATAATATCAAATTAATCAAAGTATACTCCTCAATTTCATTAAGAGCCACCTTGCATTAAACCTCTGAAACCACCCAAGCCTCCCTCGCCCCATTATAACACAGGCACTCATTTTCAGTGTCAGAATTAAAAGTCGTCTTCTATCAAGCCATACAGACAACCCCCCCCCCCAAGCTCACATCACACGATGTAGGGTTAGTTGGGATTGATGCAAGATTAGACTTACGCATAAGTGAATACAATGAAAAAAATATATAAATTCTATCTGTACCTCCCCCCCCCTTAAAATGAAATTGTTCAAAGAGATTCAGACATTTTATACAAAAACCAGTACTAAATTAATTCAGTCATGCTATGAATATATTCATGAAAATATATCAAAAATAATCAATATTAAAAATCAAATATATTATAGCAAATTGCACTTTTTATGAGGTATGGTTTAGATTTATTGCTTTAATATACAAAGGGTAATATTTGTGTTTAAAATCACTTTTTTAGTTTTTAAATGACACGCTTTTCAGACAGTGTTAAAAGTTCAAGCCTTCTGGTGAATTCAACTCTTGAATTTAAATCTAATGATGATGTACTTTTAAGACATTGATATATAAATCATTTTTTCCATTTCTGTATTATAAAAATAATGTTAATTTCAATTCGCCTGTATTCAAAGCTTCCTGTATTTTAAAGCCCTATCATCTGGCGTTCTATACAAAACTTCAGAAATGTTGAACTTCAAAAACACATAAGAAAAAAGAGTGAAATCAGCAAGGAATTAAAATATTTCATCAGCACTTCAAATTTAATCTTAAAATATCAGAAAACACTTCCTTTAAATATTTTTTTAAAAAAATTATAGAGCAGTCGATCTGAGTACTAAAGGCTCAACAGTACGTAGGCAATACTTATCTTTTTAAGTTTTTAAACAAGCCATTACTAGTAAAGTTTCATAATACACTTCCTTTATACCTGTGGTTATAATTTGTCAATCTACCAAGACAGACACTACAGTTAATAACTCTTTAAAAGAGCAATATTTTTATATACTCTTTAAACTAGGATGATTCTTTGCTATACAGTAAAACCTTTCTTAGTGAACACCGCTCTAGTGAACACCTGTGTATAGTGAACACCCCATTTCCACTGACTTCTTAAATCACCTTTCTGTAGTAAACATGTAGACCAAAAGTGAACACATTTCTGTGGCTCTAGTGTTCACTATATACAGGTTTTACTATAGCCTATATCAAAAATAAAATATATACAGTGTAGTATAAAAAAATTGTTATAAGTATCTGAATGTTGAGTGCATATAAGTCAATGTTCAATTCACACTCAAACTACCCCAAAGCAATTAAAGATCCATTTGATATTATTAAGATCTTCTGAGCAGCAACTGTTATTGAATTGAAGGTTCCCATCATAAGAGACCATTGCTTTGCAAGCAGTGTAGGCCCTTAGGATCTGAAACCGGTTGGTCATAATGGCATAACAGACCAGTTGTAATGTTATTTTCTTATACCAAGAGAAAAAATCAACTAGTCCATTTCTAGTTTTGCAAAGAGAAACTTCAAGTACTGTATATGAATGGAATATCTATTATCATGTTATTAAAATACAATTATTATCAAAATAGTTGAATCACTCGAGGAATAAAATAAACAAATATGAATAAACACTTAAAATAACATAAAAATGCCAGGAAATCAAAAAATACAATTGAAGAAAAGGTGAACATACTCTTAAATGTCTCGTAATGACACATGTGGAAACCCAAACAAAGTCATAAAAAGAAGTCTTTAAAAAAGGTCATTTTAAATAAAATGGGATCATATAAAATAAAAGGTATATTGAATATCCTGTTTGCAAGACTTGTGGTCGATGACTAAATCATTCCATTTATGAATTCTATACCAAGATGTTTTCATTTACTAGCATCAAGTATTTTATTGCTCATAATATCAACTGGCAAATGTATAAATAGCAATTACTTAGAAAACTCCTAGAATTTAATTTAAGTCTTATTGCTTACTGGGAGATCTTGTAACCCCCCCTCTGTATAGAGAGGTATAATAAATTGGGGGGGGGGGGTGTTATAGAGACTTGTACAAGGCTAAATGTTTGATAAAACTATACCAACTCAGGGATTTCATTAGAGTTTTAGGATAAAAACATTTGCAAAAAATCTCAAAACAATAAGAGATTCGGTAAAACAACAATATAAATTGCCTGTTATCTGTTGCTAATGAAATCCCTACCGATTTGTCAAAAATGACCAGTTTTTCACTCAGGTGTCAAGTTTTTTAAAACTCCTGCATATGGATATTTTCTACATTCTCAGTATAAAACGTTCTCAAAATACAGTAATATACACTTCGAACCCATCGACCACCCCTCCAGCTACGGGCATGACCTGTTTATATGGAACACTCTCCTATTGCATTTCAAGTCAAACATCCAAAATACATCTACTCTGAATTTAAGCGTTATATCAAGTCTATATAAACCCCCTCCCAATCTACTTCCTCCGCCTTTAGTCTTTAAGCAATATATGTGGGCTAGAACACTAAAACTCGAATTTCGCTCTGTTTTCTGTATTGCATCTGTGCATGTATCGACATATTCAAAATATACCAGACCACAGAATCATGCAATCGCCTCATAAGTCTAGTAGCAGCAAATTCATTATTTGATTAAGAAAATATAACATTACGCAATTTAGATTATCCGGATGCCTACACAGCGCAATTAATGTTATTGTCTCCAATGGGTCATGTTGTTTCATAGTAAAGTATTGATTGATCTTAGCTGAAAACAAAATTCTGAAGTCTGTTAAATTGGTAAAGACATATTTTAACAGGGTACAGGTAATTTATACATTATTTCAATGGGTCAGATTCTTCATGAAGCAAAATGGATGATTTGTGAAACTCTAAAATGGGCGCATAAGGAAGCAAAATGGATGATTTGTCAAGGGGGGGGGGTCAGACCATTAGCACCCTTTTCAATAGTATGATTTTGCTTGGTGAAAAGAGAGCTTCATCCTATTTTACTAGACTCTGATACTTGAGCTAAGTGAGATCACTTTATTCAATGAGCAGCTGATACTGGGAGAGAATTGTAACCAGTGAGACTCCTGTACATAAAATGACCAAGTCATCATCTCTTAAAATATAAAAATAGGAAATTAGAGTTTTTTACAGAGAAATGACCTATGCAATAATAGACTAAT